ACAGATTTTTGCTCATAGTATACGGCCCTTACCAGGCATCTGTGGCACTTTAACTCTGTTTTTCATTTGTACTTTTCAGTCTCTATCATGCTCCTGTAACACAACAATTTATCTTTTTGGATCAATAAGGTATCTATCTATCTATCTATCTATGGTATTATCATAACATGCAATTACATTAGTGACTACAATGTCCCAGACTATAAAAACTGTACTTCAGTACACATTCACACGCTTGTCCTTGTCATCAGGACTCTATTTTCTATTTCAGCTCTTCACAGTGAGCCGTTTCCTGAGACAAGGCTTTGAAGTGGATGAGGGAGGTGAGACACCGTGTGCCCAGATGCCCAGCCGCTGTGGTTAAGGGGTCTTTATCACGCAGACAAGGGGGACAGCACTCAGCTCTTGCCCTTCTATCTTTCACCGCGGCAGAAGAGTGATTTTGACAACCAGTGCTCCCCAGCTGCGCAGGGGCCAGGCCTGCGAAACCACAGGCGGATAATGAATGCCACACCATCGTGACAACTTGCACTTTTATGGAAAGGGGAGGAAGGACACTTGTGCTCACAGCGTATGATGGGACGTCCTCCATAAACCAGACAATCAAAGCGAGGGCAGATAAGCATCTGTGGAATCTGTGACGGGAACCTCCGCTGATTTATGGGCACTACTGGAAAAGGTTTGTTTCCAAGTGAATGTGTTTAGAGGTAACCAAAGAAGAAATACAACTTTCCCAATGCAACCACGGCATCTGTAAATGATAAACCGCAGTCGCATTATCCATGATCTTCCTTGCTTTCCTGAGCTGAACAAGCCACATGCTATTTATGAAGAACTTCCTCCACAATGAGAAGACTTGAGGTTTTCCAATTAGGTCAGATTGCTATTCTTGGTTTTTCTTGACTCTCACAGTCGTGTTATTTGTATTCTGTACATCAGAGGGATTATACATCCATTTGCTTTCAAGGCAAACGTTACTAGAAAAGGAGCAGCTTTGATCTTCTTCCAATAGACACGCTGAAACAGCTTCTAAATAAAGGAGTTATAAATATGCATGTGCATACGTTCTTTTAGGGATTATTTGCCAAGGATTTACACAACTTTAGTTGAAAGAATGAAACAAATCAGTTGTGTTTTCGAACTAATAACTGGAAAGGGCAGCAAGAATCTGCGAGCCTGAGCTGTGCCGTGCCAACTGCTTTCTCCGGGAACATCAGAGTCCATTTCTAGCAAATAAATGGACAGGAGCTGCAGTAATAAATAAGCCTACTTTGGAAAAGTTATATTTTGACTCATGCTCAGAGGAAGAGGTTACATAACACATGAAATACTCTTCATGCTTCTCTATTTAAAAAAAAAAGAAGCTATGTGTCCAAATTTATCCTTCCATCTAACACAGGCACATGTGCTCAGACACACTACAGAGCTCTACAGAGTGATGTCTTTGGAGTTTGCAGGGTGATCTGTCAAGAACAAACCAGGTGCACAGAAACCACTGCATTGCTGCTGTAGGAGTGGCCGTGGGCGATGTTGTCCTTCTGGAAATTATAAATGTGTCTGTGTTGACATTTTTAACATTTTGTCTGAGTAAGCCACAGAGAGCTGAAATGACTCCGCAGATCACTTCAGTAAGCTAAACATAACAACCGTGAGTCAGGTTTGAAATTGCCTTTTAAGGCCAATAAATAAGACGGCATTGACATGTGCAAGGAATGCGGCTAATAGTAGCTTTTGAATTGAACCTCAGATAATGAAAAGAGGCTGAAGTTGCATTGTGATTCATTGAGGTCACGCCATGTGCTGATTTAGCTACAAAAAAACAACAAAACAAAAAAAATAAGAGAAAGGTTGTTTACATTAACGTCTGGTTATGACTGAAAATACACGGGGGTTTCCACTGGACAGGAAATGATGTCGTCAGCCAGCCATGCATGCAAGCTCGCTTAAGCGCGGCATTACAGAAGCAAAGTTCAGCTCTTTCTGTTCCTGGTTGCCCAAACCGAATCTGTACTGCAGGCCACTGAAACTACCTTCTGTTGAAAAAAATGGATGTGAAAACAATGCTGTTCATTTACATTTTTCTGTGGGGATTTTTTCTTGTTTTGTTGTTTTATTTAATTCTTCCACTTTCCCATCTCAGCACAGTGGGGTTTTTTTGTTTGTTTTTTGTTTTAACCAAGCTGTCTGAGTCCCAAAAAGCCCGGCAGATTAAGAGGATATGTTACCATCTTGAGTTTTTTTTTCTAAATGGATACACATGTGGCACATCTGGGTCCAAGCCTGACTCATTACTCACTTTTTTTATGTCCCATTCTCTGCAGCCATGGCAACTGCTGCATGTTTGGCAGAAAGCTTTTGAAGGCAGTGGAAAAAGAGAGAGAGGGAGCATAAAGGGAGAGCTAGAGATAGAGCGAGAGAGGGAGAGTAGCTCTCAGTAGTTGGCCTACATCCAGTGTAATCATGCCATGGAGCTGAAATGAGGCCTTTGGCAGCACACCAGGTTTCTGAGAACAAAGATGTGAGCTTCTAATGTTGGCGGTGGGGCCTGCTTGGCATCCTCTGCCATTTCCCAGCAGCCCTTGCCTTGGCTGACTGCCAGCCCCCCCTCCCCTCCCCTCCCCTTGCTAGGACTGCAAAGAGGATCAGAATAAAGAGAGAGACTTGTTTTTCACTCGCTTCTTGCTCCGGCCCAATGACATCACCTCTGCAGCCTCCAGCCCCCAGATTCCAGCCGCCCAGCACATTTTTTTCCCCCTTTCGACCCTCCATTTTATTTGAATTCCACCATTTTATACCTGACTTTTAAAATCCCATCATTTGTTTGTTTGTAATTGCCATGTGCCGCACACACGGCTTCTCCGCTCTAAACACAAGCGAACACGATAAGGAACGAATCTGCACGGAAAAAAAAAAAAATCAAAACATACTCAAACTAACGCTAATAAGGGAGGTGAGGCGGCAGATGGATGCTCATTAGCTTTCAGAGCTCTGCAGATCTTTTTCCTTTTTCTTTTTTTTTTTAAATAATCAGCCCTTTAATCCTTGCTGTGCAAAAGTGTGGCTAAAAATAGCACCGTAAACAGGATATATATGGTAGCTGGGGGTAGCCTACTGTGATAATCTCTATGGTTACCTCTCCCTCTTCCAAGCTCCAGGAGCTCTGCAGAGCATGCACGTTAAAGTCCTTACATTGACTCTTTATACTTAGCAGCTTTTGCCAGTTAAATCTTCAAGACGGGGTCACGACCACAGCTGCTTAACTCGCACTATCCTGTTGTAACCTCCCTTTGTGTCGGTGCAACATGTTACAGTTTTGTTTGATGCTCGCCTCAGCAGTTCTTCTAAAAAGGTTATATAACATAAAATGTTGGCAGTGAGGACGACACGAGGAAAAAAAAAATCCAGTGCTTGCGCTCTGCTTAGGCAGAAGACTTCACAGAGAATCTGTAATGTTTCGCTGGCATAAATAAAAGATCTCCAATATAAAATTTAACAGTCTCGGAGAGCGATGAGACGCAAATATCATCATCTCACCAGCCCCGCGATGCTGTCACATGCTGGGTATTCCCCTGGCCGTCACCTACCTCGCACTCTTTATTTAGCCTCCTCACGTCTCAATTTACATACTGCTGAAAAAAAGGAAGAAGTTCAAAACTGCTTTAGACAGCTTTATACACCCCGCCACTGGCCAGGTGACACTGTGGTGATTTTCACTGTATGTACACGATTCATATTGGCCAGTCAGAACAATCCGTGCATGTCTGGCTTCCTCTCAGACCTTTGCTGCCTCTGTTCAGTACAGCTCTGCCTTTCCTTCATAGCACACTGCAGCATTTTTTTTTTTTCAAATCAGTAGATCTACTTATTATAGAATCAGGTCATTTAGGATTTAATTGAATCACAGCATGCCTCTGTCTTGCATAATAGCTATTTGGCCGTGCAGCTATTTGCTTGCACAAACATCGACTGAGTGGAAACCAAAGGATCAAAGCATTAGGCAACAATTTTCCCACCAATCTGAAGAAAGGAAAGAATTTGTTTAGTTTGTCCCTCACAACAGCCGTTTCCTAACTATGTCATAAAGCCGAACAACACTTCCTAGTGTTGTCCATCCAAAACGGGACTAAGTTTTGAGAGAAAGCGGCGATGGGAAGCAGTGGGACAATGCAGTGTTAACAGAGGAGGTGGGGTGGAGGGGGGGTTAAACTTTCTTTAAATATCCTCTTTCACTCCAAGGTGTCCCCATTCACATAGCGGCAGCTTTACGGGAATAACAAAACAATATGGCAACGTACTTGGCGGTAACACATGAGCATACGTGTCTTGTTTTGTTTCTGGTAACCCTTTGAAGAAAATGCCACAGCGCAGGATCACGGTGGCAGGCAGGGAGCCAGACTAGCCTGATGTTCTGTCGATGGGTGAGGCGGATGAGGGTACGTGACTAAACATCTTGCTTCCTCTTTTCCAACGTCACATGGACTTGCACAAACATATCCTGCTTTGTGTCTGCAGGTTTCAGACGCATTGCCTCACCCAAAGCCTGAGGCTAAGCTGCAATGAGTTGGAATGAGACCAGATGAGAGGGAGGAATGAACTACTGGGACAACTCCTCCACTTCAAAAAGCCTCTCCACTTTTACTTCAGGGGATTTTGGCTGAGGTTATGCCACATGACCTGTTTCTAATATCATTTCTTTCTTTTTGCCTTTCTGTAAAACATGCCACACTAGAGTGGAGTCATTAATCTTGTTAAATCTTTCATACTAATATCTGTTGAGCTGCTTTGACTGCTAAAGTCGCTTGAAATGAGTCTGAATCACTAATTCACTCCAGTGCCATTTCATTTCAGCAGTGGCAGATTTGGACTGCTCCGTGCACAAGAATATTAAAATATATATATATATATATATATATGTGGGCACAGCTACAGCAGGCTATATTCATGCTGTAACCCCAATCCATTCAAGTTCACAACACACTGGCTGGAAATCCCCACCTCATGACTGAGCTTCCTGGTTACTGGCTGGTGGAGGCGCCTTTTTTCTTCTCCTCTCCCTCTCTCATTCTTTTCTTTAAACATTAACAAGCCAGGAAAATATTATCTAATCATAACTAAAAGACTAACTGTGTACATCCTGAATTCACCCTGGTGAGCTGGCACAAACAAAAGAGAGAAAATACGGGCTGTAAAGTCGCTCCAATAAGCCTGTAAATTGTGCCCATGTGCTACAATAACACATTTTTGAGATCCTCTGTATAAATATAAGATCTGCCATTGGATTACAATCGCTGTTTTTCTCAGGGTCGACCCACCTCATTCAGTGCACAGTAGTAGTAGCAGCAGCTCACTGCGTCGAGGCGCGGTGCATTGAGAAAAACAAGCTGCAGCCTGAACCGGATAATGCTCTGAATTTAGGACAAAGCAGCAACCGGAGGAGCTTGAAAGTCGCTTTTTTTATTATCCCCTGGCGGTCTGTTGCTAACCTACAGCCATATTTCTTTTAGCAGCGTGCAGGCTGGTACCGGTGGACCTATTTTTTTTGCAGGTTAGATGATAATAATAACAGTAGCGTGGGTTATTCCGGAGTCGGAGGCGGTGGTGAAGCTGAACTGGGTGCTTTTTTTGTTGGCAGAAGCTCAGGTGATTAAGTTAAAATATTAAAAAAGGGAGAGAGAGAGAAAAGCGGTGAGTGACAAGAGGCTGCAGTAAAGTGGGGGGAGAGGTGGTGGTGGTGGTAGTGATGGTGGTGGAGGGGGGTGGAGGGGTCTGTCGAAGAAATCAAGTCAATAGAAACTGAAGTGGATGTAGGCGCTTAGAGCTGTGACGTCACTTTCTACATTGAGCCAGTAGTAGAGGAGAGTCAGTGGAGATAGATAGAGGAGCGCCGTAGTAAAGTACACACCGTCATGAACTTCTCCCTCTAAAACTTCAACCTTGTTGCTCTAGAAGTCGGAGAGAGGACGAGATTACATTTTTTGTTGTTGTTCGACTAACGGAAATTGCTCTTTATTCGCTTTCTTTTTGCGGGGGAGTTCGGGAGGAAGGAAAAAAACAAGAGAGAGCGGGGGAAGAAGGCAACATTTTGGGTTTCTTTTCGGGGGGTCGACGACGAGCGCTATGTCGTCCGCGGCGGTCGCTGCTTCTTCCAGGAGGCAGTCGTGTTATTTATGCGACTTGCCCCGCATGCCTTGGGCCATGATCTGGGATTTTACCGAGCCCGTCTGCAGGGGATGTGTCAACTACGAAGGAGCAGACCGCATTGAGTTTGTCATCGAGACGGCCCGACAGCTTAAAAGGGCTCACGGTTTTCAGGAGGGCAGGTCTCCCGGGCCGGGGAAGTCGCAGCTCTCCGGGAAGGAGATCCAGGCGATCAACCACGCTGCGGGGGGAGATCCGGGCTCCCGGCCGCCGCAGCCTCTGGACCGCTACCCTCTGTCCGACCGCCCGCCCAGGCTGGGTCCAGAGTATCAGCCTAGAGGGCAGACAAACGGCATCCAGCTCCCTAATGGATTTCCTAAGCCTGACGAGCCACCAGAGCTGAACCGCCAGAGCCCCAACCCGCGCAGGAATAACACGGTGCCCCCGAATTTAGTGCCTTTGCCTAACGGGGGCTTGACCCCGGGGCATGCCGTCAACGGCAGGAACCCGATCGGGCTTTCCTCCACTCTGGCGGGCGGTAGTCCCGCCGACATGGGCAAGAGACCCGCCTCGGTCTCCAGCACCGAGCACGACAGAGAGCTGAAGGAGAAGCACAGACCCGACAGTCTCACGCCGGAGATCTCGGAGAGCCACAAAAACAGGGCAGACCCGGACTGGATGGGCAAAGGCAAAACGGTGAGGGACCTGATGGCTCTGCACACCACGTTCGAGACCAGGTACAAGAAGGACCATGTGCCCATGCCACAAAGAGCTATGGTCTATGAGCCCGGCCCCACTCTTTCCAAGTCAGGTGAGCATTAAAAGGCAGGAATGTTTTATCTATACTGTGCATTTTTAAAAATTTAATTTTTATTACTGATTTATTAATTTTCCACCCAGGAATGTGTCAAGATGGTAAAAATGGTATTTATAAAGCCATGCCCTAATATTATAAGGGCTATAAATAAATTTTTTGAATCCTTTGCTGTGTTTGTTATTGTTTTGTAGCCTGTGGTGCAGCACGAATTGGCAAAATTCACATCTCCCTTTCAGGCTAATTGTTGATCCTTGTATGAGCTGTGCAACTCAACTGCTCTGTTTAACCCTTTCCTACCTCCAGACAGAGGAAAACATCCCCGGGGGAGCAACAAGAGAAAAGCATCACCTGAACCGGAGGGAGAGGCGACAGCTGCCAAGCTCAACGGAGAGGGACAGCAGTGGTTACCACCACCTACTGACGGACTGAAAATGCCTCCAGTTCCCCCGCCAAGCTTCGCCTCTCCCCCTTCCACAATATCCCCTCACTCCCGCACCACCCCACCGGAGGCAGCTCAGAATGGTCAGTCCCCCATGGCGGCGCTCATCATGGCTGCAGACAACGCAGGTGGGAACAGCTCTCCCAAGGACGCCAACCAAGTCCACTCCACCACCCGGAGGAACAGCAGCAGCCCCCTGTCGCCGTCCTCCATTAATCAGAGGAGGCTGGCGCAGAGAGAGGCGCCGAGTGCAGGCACCCCCCATGTGCCAGGCATGGACCAAGTGCACCCCCCACAAAGCATTCCGGACTCCTCTGTACCCAGCAGCATACCTCTGTGCTGCACGCTGTGCCACGAGCGTTTGGAGGACACACACTTTGTTCAGTGCCCGTCTGTGCCCTCTCACAAGTTCTGCTTCCCATGCTCAAGGGAAAGCATAAAGCAGCAAGGCGCCACGGGTGAAGTGTACTGTCCAAGTGGAGAGAAATGCCCCCTGGTTGGCTCGAACGTACCATGGGCTTTCATGCAAGGAGAAATCGCCACCATCCTTGCAGGAGATGTCAAAGTAAAAAAGGAGAGGGACCCTTGATTTTTTTCTTTTTTTTGTCTGAACACTTCTTTGGGGAGGGGAAGCAAAAAAAATATGAGTATAAATATATAAATATCACATACATACCATTCAAACAAACTAACGGACTTGTACATATTGGACCCAAGGGAAGAGTATACTTCGTAAAACATGGTTGTATAATTTTTGATTTTTGAATACATTGTGTTTCTATATTTTTGAAGATAAAGGTATGTACTCATTATAATGAACTACGTTCCTCTTTGTTGATGTTTAACAAAAAATTCTTGATGTACTTCTAGGTCTGGTGGCAGTTCCTGTTTAACGTAGAATGTGACTAATGCTACTCTACGAGCACTTGGCAAAACTAAAAATGCTTTTAGCTGTACTTGTATGCACTTGTTTAAAAATTGCCAAATACAATTTCTGATCTTGTATGAACATATTGTCTGAGCTTGCTTCATTTTGAGTGAATAAGTGACACAAGGGGCTGTGGACAGATGACGAGATAGCGCTCTCGGCTCTGACATGCAGGCTTGTTGTTGTGACGGCTCAGGAGACTTGATTTACGCTGCACACAACACAACACAACACAACACAACATGAGCAGGCTACTGTTTCAAGCTGCAGGACGGAAGAGCCTTTTTTTTCTGTCTCTCTTTATGCACACATGTCTTATGTGATTCATGGAGAAGCTTGGCTGGGAAAAAAACAAGAAAAAAGGAAAAAAATACAAGACACACTGTCCTCGACTTTTGTGCATCGCTGTAACTGATTGCAGAACTAGGTGCCAAGTCATGTTCAGTCAGCTGGAATCTGTCGAGTCAGTAATGAAAACGTGCATGAATGTCAACATAATACAATAGTGCAAACCACGCCGTGTGACCGCAAATTTGGACTTTTCCTGAAAATAACCACCCTTGGGTTTTTTTTTCTGGTGACGTGTATTTTTCAAGCTTGTATGCAGATTGTGTCTGACGTCACAAAGGTGTTTGGCTTTTTTCGTTTTATTACACATATAACTTATATCTCTCTCTCCCTATATATATATATATATATATATATATATGTAAGGAGAGAGAATTTTTTTTATTAAAAAACATACTTTTGGTTTAGTCTGCAGATGACAAACTACAGATAACGAATAAAATCAGCTTCACAAACCAACTCCAAGCATACGTTAGGTACAATTAGCACTGCAGCAGCACACTGTTTGCTTTCGGTTTTAGCCTTTTGTGTCACACTGAACATGCACTCATAATGCAGCACCCTTCCCCACGCTGAGAACGGAGTAAACATCCACGCTGCCTTACATGCCAGCCTCGCTCTGTATGCCTTCAAATGTAAATGCAACTGCTGCTGCAATTTCTTTGACAGTGGAGTCACACACAAACGTGCACAAAACCCCCTACAAACTCTTGTATCGCTAATGGCAGCCCTTACTGGTCTCTACAAGCATTGAGGAGCTTACAGTGGGCCATTAAGTGACAAACTGCAGCTACTGTATGTCTAGATGAAAAGCAATCCTGAGACTATTTTTTGCTCTCTCTCAGACAAAGAGCTCCCGAGTAGCTGACCACACAGACCCAGACATGGAGGATAATATCTAGCAGAAAGGAGGGCTTGGTGTTAGCAGGCAGTTGCGTAATTATTTTCAGACGTAATCTGCTTCTTGCTAGCTCCCTGATTTTTCAAACAGCACACAATCCAAAAGCAGATTGTTTTTCTTCTTCTTCTTAATTAAAGGCCCACAAACTGCTCTGACATTGTTGCTTTACTGTTCACCGTGGTGCCCATGAATCTGCTATTCAGCCGGGGATTTACTGACGTTCTTGCTCTGGCAGACATGTTTAAGATGGTATTTTTGGAAGGCACCTGAAAGCTGTGATTACCCGCTTCTTTAACAGGCTGCATGGTGTCCCCGATTAACTGATTGATTCATGATGTTGAATGAAAACACAGCCTTTGCACTCGCCCATTTAGCCGACTAAGAATAGCAGGGATAATTATTGTCCCCTAACCGAGAAGACTGGAAGGGCTGCAAAGGATAAAGGCAACTCTAAAGGTAACTTCAGAGCACGCGTCAGCTTTTACAGTATGATTTAAAGCTTGAAACGTGTTTTTCATGAGTGCGCGTTTTCCAGGCAGCTGTTTGTTTATACACCCTTTTCCCGTTCTTTGGAAAGCTATCTTATCAGTTGGACTTTAAAACGAGAAATGCAGCCCACATTGATAAAGGCAGCACTTTACTGTGCCCATCAACAACACGCCCTTATTCCACCTTACGTGGTGTTCTCAGAGATTTTATTAAAAATTTTTTGTTAATCAGTTGACTCGTTGACCTACTTGTTCCTTATCACACTATACTGCCAACCAAATTAAAATTGCCACATCTGAGAATATCAGAGTTGAGAGACAGGTTTTTATAACCTGGAAAGATGATGCAATGAGACGTAAATGAACACGTCTCCTTCTCTCGCTTTCCTCTGTGCTCGTAAAGATATATGACAGCAGACGCAGTACCTGTTTGTCCAGTGGTGACTGAAATAGCTTGCGCCATATCTAATACAGTGATACTGTGTCCCTGGAAGTGGCTCTGTCATAACACAGCACTCTGGTGTTGCGTGGTTACCGGTGAAATCGGTGCACGGCAGATGCTCCGGTGCAGGCTGTTTGTTAATATGTAGGGAGGGAGCTTTTCTGTAAACAGCCAGCATGTGAGGATCAGGGCCGCACAGAGCTGATAGCATGACGTTCAGCTTTCATTTTTCTGATTATACATCTTTTCTTTAAAAAAAAAAAAAAAAGTGAATCATCTCTCCTGCTTTCGGTACGATCACGCAGGAACCATTTGTGGTTAATGACTCACGTTTTTATTATGTTTACTTACGCGAACCTCCAGGGATTTTTAATGTCTAAGCCCTGCTTGTGAGGTGAGCGCTCCGGACTTTGATGTGTTTTTACCCTCAAATGATTTATAGAAAACCTGACCGGGTGAAATCCAAGTCCAACCTTGGGTAAAGTTTAATTCGATTCCTTCTCTTCCCACTGCTTCCGGATAGCAACTTGGGGCTTTTGCTGGGCTACAGTCAAGTGTTTGAAATATCCCTGAAATCCGGCGATCTTTCATCATGCGGCCGCGGGTCCAATCAATGGTCATAAAATCCTTCATTGACTGTTTGATCGATATTGACTCGACACAATCCAGTTAATCAAGCTAAGTGAAAGGCAATAACAGATAGGTGACGCAGCCAGTGTGTGCTGCTTGGCTGCCTCTCCTGGTAATGATTAACTCGGGCATTACACAAAGATGTCGGCGCGATAGTAAAACTCAGAGTTCATATTTGTTGTCTTTACAGCACTAGATGAGTTTATTCTAGCACTTGCCTGCACAGATAAGCGTTTCTCCTTCACGTATGGAAAAATACTCAGAAAATGACACCGTTTTTAAAAAAGATAATCGCATTTGTTGACGTTCGTTTTGTTCGAAACATCAGCAAAGCGTGACGCCAATGCTGACAGCGTGTTCATTGAAAAACACAACTACAAATTCTAATCCTTAGGCATTTATTTTACATCAAAAAATGTTGAATATGGTCCAGTGGGTGGGTGGAGGGAGGGAAGGCCTGTGTGGGAGACACTAAAGCACTCAATGTAGCCAGCTGTTTCACTAATGAATCCATGTTTAGCACAATAAATCAAAAGGCGTGCTCGTGCTGCTGTAATCCCCTGAAAGCGAAGCAGAGACGGGGACGCGCCAAAAGGAGAATCTGGTCTACATTTCTCCACTCCCAGTATAACTGAGCCGCTTGGTTAATTTTAGACCTGTCAGGGAAAACAAGGTCACAGCAAATGTTGTATCGAGGACACGCTCAGATCTGCTTCTTTTTCTCTTCATCAATCAAAGTTCCCCTTTGGTGCTGGGCTCGGGCTCCTGCGAGACTGGTAATGACGGTTTCTCTTCTCAGCACCGGGGGAGAAGCTGGGGCTTCAACCAGCAATTAGGAGGATCCGCAGGATGTGTAAAATTTCCCTTCTGATTCTTGGCTTGGTCCGCAGAGTGGGGACAGGGGCCGGGGGGGTGTTACATCTGACTGGCCTGTTTACCATGAAGGCCAGCAAAGTTAAGATGATTGCAATGTTGAGTGCCAAATGTGTGTGTATGTGTGTTTTTCCCCTCAAACTGGTATGAGGCTTGTTTACTGCAAGAGCGCCATGAATTGTTCAGTGTTTTCTCTGCTGTAATTACATGTGTTTAAATGTAGTTTTGGATGGCAGTGGAACTGAACATACACAAAAACAGTGTCTTTAAGAGGGCACACACAGCTTTTTTGTTTGTTTTTTTGTTTAAAAGATAGTATGGGGACACCTTTCCCTCACTTCATGCTTCATGTTTGTCTCTGGATTTCTTTATTAGCTTTATCGCTGCGGTTTGGGAACCTAATTTTCCATTTTTCTTCCTTGCGATCGCTTCCTGCCTTATCTTTCCATCCATCCGTTTCTCTCTGACTCAACCTCTCCGTATTCCTGTATTCTCCCTTTTTGCTCTGGTGTTGCAGTGAATGGAGTCTGTGAAATGGAAATGAGGACTCTGGCGCTCTCTCACTCTCTCAGTCTCCCCCTCTTTCCAGACATCAGAACGAGGCTATGCCTCCAATGTTTTTCTCAGATCTTGGAGTGCTGCCAAATCTTATAAGTGGAGCAGAGAGAGAGAGGTGGAAGAAGAGAGTGAGCAGGATGCAGAGGAAGGAGAGAAGCGTAGGAGAAAAAGATGAAAGGAGAGAGGATGAAAAATGAACGAGGGAGAGAGGCAACATGAGGGATGAGGACAAAGCATGGGACTGATCCAAGAGCATTTGGGCTTTCTCTCATATTATAGCCGAGCCCAGCACAATCCCTCCTCTTTCTGCTGAGCAACTACTCCTAGCTTCTGGCTCAGGATCAGCTGATAAGATGGCGTGGTGCTACTATGCCAAATGAAAAACAGGAGGCGTGTGAGGGGACTGTTATCGCGTGCAATCGAGAATTTTTGGTACATAACAACATGGCTGGAGAAAATAGGCCACAAGAAGGTCTAAATTTGCTCCACTGGAGACATTTGTAACATAAATACACCCCTGCAGAGTTTTAATAATGGCAGAAATGCAGTCGTGTTTAATAGAAGCCACGACTTCTTTACCTTCCGGACACAGTATTTTGGGCCTTTGGGAGGTGCGTGCCAGTCAGGGTAGTAAGATGCTTGCTGCTGCCTTTGACATGCCAAACTAAAGTTAGATTTAGCTGGCAATAAGAGCCATGCTAAAAGTAAATATGGGAGCAGCGAGCACCACTTTGATCTAGAAGGATCCTCAGCCTGCCGCCCTGCTGTGGATTTTCAGTGCTTTGAGGTTTTTTTTGGGAAAGATCCAAAATGAACTAGAGTTCATGAAAATGCACTATAT